CTGGGTTCAATCCTCAGCACCACGTAAAAATATTGTGTCCGCCAAAAACTAAAAAAAAAAATAAATATTAAAAAATTCAAAAAAAAAAAAAAAAAGAACATAGATAACCTCTAACCTTTATTGGGGTAGTTGTGTGATACTATACTTGCAAATAAGACAATATGGTGTCTTCTAGTGACCTGTTCACTCTTACATTATTTGTGGCATATACACAGCAGATGTCCATTGCTGTTACCAAAATGAAGAAGGGCTTGCTCTGGTCTACAGAGCAATCTTACTATCCCTCACCTGAGCACTTGGTTCAGACGGCCTTTGAGGAAGGAGACAGAATCCAAATACAGCTCCTGGAGGTGATGAAGACTGAGGAACTGAGAGGTGAACTGACTAACGCAATGCTCCTCCTCCTCCAAGGAAGTGTAGGAAGACATGTGGATGTGGGAAAGAAGGAGCCTGCGCAGATTACCCATCTGGCCTAGATGAGGAGCAAACTTCCCTAAGGTGGACAATTTCCAGGTACAATTCACTTCCAAATCCTGGACAGAGTCCAGCTGCACCATTTTCAGAATCATCTTAATATTCTGCATGGGCACTGAAAAAATCTTCAATTTCTTACAGCACAGGTGTAGTAAACCTTTCTTTTGCTTGACCTTCTCAATGAGGGAAGCAAGCAATTTATCACGGCTGCCTTCCTTGAGGCACAGGTCTATAAGCACTTCTACAGGAGCCAAGGGCTGCTTCCCCCTCATTCTGCAACCGTCCACTCTTCGCTTCTTCTTCATGGGCTGGGTGGCCTCTGGCTCCATCAGTGAATATACACTAGCTCTGCTTCCAGACCATATGGTCCAGAAGTCCCGATGAGCATTCTTGCGTAAATCCAGCACTTGCAGTTTCCATCTCCTGTAGGAAAATAGGTAATCAACTCAGAATAAAGAGCAGAAATCGTATAACCTTGGAAAGAAACAAAGTTGCTCTTTTTTCCACTGAGAATCTGCTTCTCCTTTGGATTTTTCTGGAATCCCTTCTCCTAAGATCCTTCTTGAGCCCTGCTTATTGTACATTGGAGGGAGTACCCAACGCATCTTAATTAATCAGCCTTCTACATCCAGAAGCCCATTCCCAGAGTGACACCAAAAAACAGACTCCAGGCCTCCCTGAACTTCCTCACTAGCACCACCAAAAGCCCCTGGCCTACCATCTTAGCTCTCCAGGCTCCCTGAATACAGCTGTGTCTTGCTGACTCCCAGGGTCCTTTCAGGCTACAGGACTACCCTCACCTGGGGCGAACTTCCTGAGCAAGCAGCACATCAAGCCCATTGAGTGCAGCTTGGAAGTTCTCCTGGTGAGGCTGCCACTCCTTCATCAGGGATCCTAGAGGGAGGCAGGCAAAGGGCCAGGACTGCACCATCGCCTTCAGGGTCTTACTGCGTCGCTCAGCATAGGCCACCGTGAACAGAGGTGGGAAGAGCTCTGTGGGGAGCTCCTCCAGAGCAGCAACTGCCAAGGCCTCATTCCTCAACAGACTCTGCCCAGCCAGTTCCAGGAGCCTTGGTGGAGCCCACATGCTCATCCTGATGAATCTCTGTTCTAAAAGGAATCCTGAGGAAATATGTAGAGAAAGTATTCTCAGGTTAAGCATGAGCAATTCCATATTCTCTCCACCCTTCAGAGGGACCAACTCAGGGCTAAAGTCACTGTCTGGTAATAGCCAGGAAATTCTCAGTTTATCCATTCTGCACTTGGTGGCCATAGAGTCACATTTGTGTCTCTGCTAGCACCAGAGCAAGCATTTGGTCAAATGCTGAGGAGGTGGCATGATGACCACTGACCCCATCTCATATCCACCCATTCACAGCTTCATTTAATTCTAGCCCACCTGGGAAGTAAGTATTATGGAGCCTGAAAACTGACTCTGCCCTCTTAGGGGATAAAATTTGAAAATTATAAATTGATATTTCCTTATTGAAATGCTTGGGACCAGAAGTGTTTGGGATTTTTGATTATTTCAGACATTGGAATATCTGCACATAAGATATTTGGGGAAGGGACGCATATTTAACACAAAATTCATTATGTTTTATATGCCCCTTTTAGCCTGAAGGTAAATTTATGTAACATTTGTAATAATTTTGTGCATGGAACAAAGTTATACAATGTAGATTTTTTCCACACATGGTATCACACTGGCACTCAAAAGCTTTGGATGTTGGAGCATTCTGAATTTCAGATTTTTGGATTAGCAATGCTCACCTGTATTTTCCAAAGACAATGGGAATGAGAATACCACATAGCCCAGAATAAACTCCTTCTCTGCTCCAACAATAAGCCAGGTAGGACATATTAGGAAAACATGCACAATGGGTGCCACTGTATTTTCCTTTATAAAACCTTTAATTAAGAAACTATAAAAGCACTTTATTCCCAGACTCTGGAGGCTAAGGCAGGATGGTGGCAAATTTGAGGCCAGTCTCAGCAGCTTAGCAAAATCCTGTCTCAAAAACTAAAAAGGAATGGGGATACAGCTCAGAGGTAGAGTGGATTCAATCCCCAGTACCAAAAACCATTTACATTTATTTTGAAATATTCATTAACTATAGAATGCCTAAATCAAGCTAACTCACAGGCATTATATCATACTCTTACTAATTATGGTAAAAACCTTTAATATCTACTCCCCTAGCAATTTTCCAGTATATATTTTCCCTAACTGTAGTTAGTATATTGTACCCTAGGTCTCTTGAATAAACTTTCAATCCCAAAATGAAAAGGGAGAAAGAACAGGAAAAAAAAAAAAAAAAAAAAGGAAAAACCCTTCACTCTTAAAAACATCCTTTGAATCGCCTTACCCATGGGGTACTGTGGATTAAATCCAGGGCCCTCTATCACTGGGTTACTTCCTCTATCCCTTATTGAGAAAAAGTCTCAGTTGTTGAGGCTGATCTCAAACTTTCCATCCTCCAGACAACTGGGATTATAGGCATATGTTTCTGCACCTCACCTATGAAATATTTCTAAGCTTTTAAAAAATTATGAAGAAAAAAAACCTAAATAAAGCACAAAACTTATAAATGACAAAACTAGAACTGGTCACACTCTATTTAAATGTTACCAAGTAAAATTCTGACCAGTCATGTCTTTCAATTCCAAAACAAAACAAAAAATCTGTTTAATTAAACTTTAAGCATATGTAAAATGGTATAACCGGGGCTGGGGATGTGGCTCAAGCGGTAGCGCGCTTGCCTGGCATGTGTACGGCCCGGGTTCGATCCTCAGCACCACATACCAACAAAGATGTTGTGTCCGCCGAGAACTAAAAAATAAATATTAAAAAAAATTCTCTCTCTCTCTCTCTCCTCTCTCTCTCTCTTAAAAAAAAATGGTATAACCAAAGCAGAAAACAAAATGTTCCAAGTTAAGGCAAAATGCATTAAGAGGAAAGAGCAAAGCCTAATCCTGATCTTTTCATAAGGAAAGGAAAACTATCTATGCAGTTAGCCTGCCAGACTATGAAGTCCCTGGATGACATTCCTGACCCATCAGGCAGGAATGCAGTGCAGGAAGCCTTGTATCCCAAGTCAGGGAGGACCAAAGAATTAACTCAGACCTCAGAAGCTATCATAGGCCATTCTGGATACACCTTCTCCTTTTCAGCTCTAAGCTTACAAGTATAAGCATGAAATCTGATTATAATATTGGTTCTCCATTCTGTGTATCCTAATAAGGTGTTTCACCTTCTGTGGAATCAACTCACTGAATCACATGTCCATTCACAAAAGGGAAAGGAAAAGCAAAACCAATTGAAACTATAATCATTGGGAGAATTTGTGGCCACATAAAAATTTCAAGTTAAAAAGCTTTATGAAAAACGATGTCAGCTCAAGAGGAGGAAAAAAAAGCCTCAAATTAAGAATTCCCAAGTATCACATTGTAATTTATAATTTATAACCCCTAACAATGCAAATCAAGTTTGTACAAAACTCAGGTTTGTACAAAGGTACAACAGAGTTGTGGTTAGTTTTCCAGACTTTGAAGGTCAAGGATACCCCAAAGGAAGTTAAGTCAAAATTACAAATAGGAGTAAGGGTAGGGGCCTGGGAAGAATGGAGATGGGAAGGAGTTGATTACCCATGAAAAGTCAAAGTGTTTGTTTGGGAAAACTTCGAGACTTCTGCCTGGATGAAATTGAGAGATTAAAAGAAGGATAAACTTGGTGCACTGGCTACATCCCAACTATTTGGGAGGCTAAGGCAGGAGGATCCACTGAATCCAGGGTTCAACATAAGCCTGGACAACACAGCAAGACCCCCTGTCTCAAAAAACTATTCAAGATAATCATCGAGGCAGAAGGTAGAACCAATCTTCCTTACTCCCTAGAGGTAAAAAGGTGTTTCTTCCCAGAGGAGTTTCAGGACTCAGAAAACTGTCTTTAGAAAACTGAATCTAGGAATGTGGTCTGGGGAAGGAATAGAGGGTAATATACTTAAAGACTAAACCTGGGACTTCAACTTTTTTCTTTAAGTCTGAAAGCCACTGAGAAGTGACAACTGTATGTTCTTTGGATCTTGGAGTCAGGGAGAGAAATACACATGGTCCAAATGCACATATCCTTGGCTTTCCAGAAACTACCAGACTTTCTGTATAGGGCCAGATGTTCTCTTCACTGCTCAAGAGAAAACCATCAAAATCCATGGTTTTCTAACTAGGGCTGCTTGTTACAAGCATTTAGGAGCCAGATGCTGTGATATATAGTTTTAATCTCAGCAACTCAGGAGGCCAAGGCAGGAGCATAACAAATTCAAGGCTGGCTTGGGCAATATAGCAAGATCATTTCAAAATAAAAAATGATTAGGGGATGCAGCTCTATGATAAAGCACTATTGGGTTTAATCCCCAATACTGAGGGGGAAAAACCCAAAACAAAGGTCTCAAAACAACAAACCAGGCAATTTCAACAATGATACAGGTTATACAATAAGACATTTGCCTCAGAAAACAAATAATTCAAACTTTTCCATTGGCCCTTCTGGTGGCCTCCAGTTCTTAATAGCATCTGGTTTCACTTCTGACTGAATACTATCTACATCTAAACAGAGATTATCCCTTTCTTTTTTGTCAATAGGGACCTGCTTGCTGACAAGGTCATCCTGGGTCCATTCAGTTAATTTCAAGGGATGTGCTTCCTTTTAGAGGCATAGTGTGATGGTGGTAATGTTTGTGTGTGGTGTGTCTGAATGACTCATGGAACTGGAACAGGAATAGGGACACAGACTGCAGAGGAGTTGGTACAGGTCAGTGAACGATGGGGAAGGAGAAACTACAGGAGAGCAGGAGGCCAGGTCTGGCTTTCACAGAGCAGGGTTCCTTAAAGGTTGGAAGCTTGTGTCTTAAGATAAATCAGCAACAACATAGGCCTGGGTGAAGTGTATTAAGGTCTGGCTTTGTTGGGCCTAGCTTGGATGAAGTAACAGCGTTAATGGTTATTCTTTGCCTACCCTTATCCCAAGGACCCAAGTCAGGACACTAGAACTAGAGAGTCTGGGGAGAGAGAGAGAGATCCTGGATGCAAAGATGAGAAGATATGCAGAAAGGGCAGGGGGTCCCCAGGCTTGACATTCAGCCCAGAATAATATGCTCTTTGGGATGTTTGTACTTCATCCTCCTGACTCATCATAGCTCAATGGACTGTGAAGAATGGACATCTCTGTAAAGCTTAAGAGAGGATTCTAGTATGGGTCATCCAAATTTACCAAATTTCAGCCCCATGGCGATGGGAGTAAAACCAGAGTACCCTAGGCTGTGTAGCATTTTCTCCCGAACAAGGAGAGCAAATGGGCTGGGGATGTAGCTCAGTTGGTAGAGTGCTTGCCTCACATGCACAAGGCCCTGGGTTCAATCCCCAGAACACCCCACCCCTCAAAAAAGCAGGAAGCAATGGTACTTGGGATACCAGGGCAATGGCCTCACATTTAATTGGAAACAATTCTCCACATTCCATGGTGAGGGCTGGAATGAAGCCCCGGGGCAGGTTGGCCCTGTGCACATGACATGTTCCCTGCAAAGTCTCTGGCACAATGGATCCCCTTTCTTTGACTTACTCAAGGAAACTTACTGATCTTTCTAGAGTAGAGAAAGGGACAAGGAGTGAAAGAAGGGAGGGGAAGAGGAAGTAATGAAAACTGAATTACAACAAATTATGTTCCACACTTTTATAATTAGGTCAAAATAAACTATCATGTATAATTAAAAATAACTAATAAAATAATAAAAATTAAAAGGTTTATTCCTTAGAAGATGACATTAAATGTTATTCTGAGAGAGGGAGAAACTCCCAGAGCAAGGCCATAAAAATGACCACACAAACTGAAACTGTGCAGTCATCTTCACTTTGCTCAGGCAAAATTATGATTTTTCTATAGTCATTATAATTTTTTCAAAACATTAAGAATTGCTACTATTAGTTAAAAATGTATAGAAAAACATATAAACTTCAAATTTATTAAGTACAATGATTTGAAATATTGAGAATAAATAAATATTGAGAATTAAAATTTTGTTTCTTTGTAAAGACCTTATCAAGATTAGTATAAATAATGCTTATTTTCTTGGTGCAGAAATTTTGATACAGAGAAATCATCTTTTTTATGCATTATTAAGTTTGGACCAGCTTCTAGCATATTACCCTTCATACTGCTAATGTCATGACCAATACCTTTTCCCTAATAAAATTTGAAGCTAAATTATGACTGTTCCATAATCATTACAATAATTATGTTTTCAACATGAGATTCCCCACAGTCATTTTCTTCAGGACACATACTTCCTGTCAATTTTCCTCATTCTGCTTCTATGGGAAGTTGGGGAGTATAAGCCTGGATTTGAGTGGCTATGGTTCTGAACATGATGGAGTAAAAATAATTCCTTATATTTGGTAGAACTTAATTTTTCTAGTCTCATAAGTACCTCTCTGAAGATATGTAACCTCAGCAGAGGCCTTAGATCAAATTTTCCTTTCCATGTGCAGGAAACAATGCTCCCAAAGGTATGTAATGTACATTCAGAGGGTGACCCAACTGGGCTCCAGGTTTAAGCCTGATGGGCATGTGTCTGAAGAAGGTGAGTTATAAAGGGAACACTCTGCTGTATGTGCACACAGCCATGGACAAAATCATGGATGAGAGTAGCAGCCTCCATTTAGGTGATATCCTTCATCACAATCAGGGGTGCAGCAGATGTGCAAGATGGCTCCTGTCATCTGAGTCAGGGATTAAGAAGGGTGCGAAGAACCCAGCCTAGCAGTCTCAGGATACAGATCCCTGGAGCATCATGACCACTGCCTGAGACCTATGCTCTGCTCAGCTCATTCTCCTCCTTACTACAGGTGAGACCTTAAGAAGGGAACTTTCTGGCAGCCCAGGGCTGACTGGTCTCAATCTGCCCCAAGTTCCTCTGGGGTGATGATTGGAACTTACCCTCTCCACATGCTCCTCTTCTCTCAGGGTTGTAAGTTTGTTGTGCCTAACATAAGCAACTTTCAGAGTCTGAAACTTTGGACAAAATGTCAAAGTCTCCCACTCTAGAGGCAATGACATTAGGGGTTTTAATCATGTAACCTGGTACCTACAATTGGCACACTGCTGCTCACTCTCCAGATGTCACCTTTGAGCTTTGGGTCCTAGCTCAATTTTCCAGATATAAGTGAGACCACAGGACTCCCTGGCCTCCCCAGGTGGCACTGGAGGACAAGGATATGCAGTCCTGTTTCTTACTTTCTAGGAGTGATCCACACCCACAAGAACTGAAATCAAACATCCCTGAGCTCATGTACCCTTTCTATTTAGACACCCTGCACAGACATAGTCTTTGGTGTTTGATTATTCTGAGCAGAAATTCTGAGCATAACCATAGTTATGAGAATAGGATCCCCAACAAGCTAGGACTGCTTCTTATAAAAAGTAGAACAAATAAAATGCTCTGTGGAGGAAAATTATTTGAAACAAACAAACAAACAAAAAGGTTGCTCTTGATTCTGCTGGGAGGGGCATCAGGATAAAGATTCTCTCTAGCTCCTTGGTGACAAGGTAAAGGTGGTGAAGGGCCACTCCAGGCAACCTACATGGTACAGGGAAGGGCCACTCCAGGCAACCTACATGGTACAGGGACTAACTTACCTGAAACGTCTTCTGCACACTGACACAACTCTGACTGGCCTCAGGTTCTCCAATACTTCGTTTTCTAGATGTCCAGCTGTATCAGTCACAAGTTTCCAAACAAGTCTGTGAGCAATAACCAAAATGCTCCAAAAGCAATGAGATCATGTTTTAACATAACTAGTTAGGAAGCAACAGCCCCTGCCATTACTACGGAGAAAACAGCAGTGGAGCCTCAATCCTGCTCTTCTATATTTTACTAATATATTTTTGAGGTACTGAGGATTGAATTCAGCAACTCCCTACCATCGACCTACATTCCCAATCCTTTTTCCTTTATATCTTGAACCATGTTCTCACTAAATTGCTCAGGGTAGCCTCCAACTTGCCTTTTTCCTCAGCCTCCGGAGTTGCTGGGACTACAGGCCAGCACAACTACACCTGGCTTCAATCCTGTCTTTTGGGAGGGACTCTACTTGTCATCCCAAACCTCAGCACCAGTTTTTTTCAGCTGAACTGGAGGGCAATTTGAGTGGCAGACCCTGTGTTAGTCACAATTGCTCCTTCCCCTCAAGTACATTGACCTGCAGCCGATTTTCGGCCCTCCTCTCACCCTCCTGAGCTGCTAGCTTCTTCCTGGAATTCTGATGCCTCTGGCTGAGCTGCCCCCACCTCCTAATACCTCCTGGATCCTCCAGAGGGGCCAATCCTTAAGAGCAGCTACCCCAGGCAGCAAATGAGATCAAACCGTAAACCCACACGCCTCCATAAGATGAATTACGTTGTCTAAATCGCTTCCCTATGGCTACTTCTCCGAAGCAGGTACTTTGGCTAATTCAAGTTATATGAAGTTATTATGCTCTTCATCTCAGTTCTAAACTGTGATAACCCACTTTCGGAGGGAAAACAGGGCCCTTGGGGAAGGGGTGGTAGCTGGGGAGGCGGCCAAGGTTGCCCTACGAGGAAGGGGAGGAAACAGAATTTGAACTCACCCTTTCTTCTATGCCGCGGGCCCCGCCACGTGGCCTCTCTCCTCGCGCAGCTGTTGGAAAGAAGCAGACGCTGACTCAGCAAGTTCCCTAGAGCTCGGAGACCGACAGATTGACCAATCCTGGCTTCTCTTTTCTTCTCGGGCGAAATCTCACGAGATCAGGGCGGGGTCAAACAGGGAATCCAGAAAGTTCTCTAGGACTGGAACAAGATAGGGGAGAGGGATGGAAGCTGGGTGAAGTGAGGATGAGTGGCACCCAAGGCTCCGCCTACCTTGGCTGGGATAGGCATGGATTGGAAATACACGAGGCAGGAGTGAAGCGGGTAGAAGTAGGAGGAGGCAAGGGTGGGGACAGTGGGGTGAAGGGGGAGATTGGCGATAGGAGGAAAACAGGGAAAACAGGAAGTGAGATTGAGGCAGAAGGGTGAAGGCAGTAGGGTGGAGGCATGGATTCGAGGATGAGGAGAAAGTAGAAGCGGGAGGGTGTATGGGGTCAGATAAGGGACCCTGGGATGGGGAGAGCAAAGTGTAGACCTAGACACAGGGCCTGAGTTTGCAGAGATTGGAGGGGGAGGGGACTCCTTTTATTCCATGGCATTTGGGGTACAGGAGAACCTTCCAGTTCCTTGATTGAGCTGCTTAGCTCCACCCCACATTTTTTTTTTTCCTGGATCAATACCACGCTCTGGGTGGGTCTCATGACCCTAATTGTCTGGACCCATTTATGTAATGTTAAACTGAAGCAACCCAGACAGATTCAGTTCATTTTTCCTTGCTGTAGAATGCTTTCCTCAGTCGTCCCTTAGATTGTTTTCCCTCTCCGATTTGGTTTTCCAAGGTTGTTGGTTTTATTTTTTTTTTCTGTACCTGGAATTGAACCCAGGGGTACTCAACTATTCAACCATTGAGCTACATCCCTGCCCCCCCCCCCAAAAAAAATACACATGCACACATATACGTATATACATACATATAAATAATTTAGAGATAAGGGCTCTCTAAGTTGTTGAGGCTGGCTTTGAAGTTTCCATCCTACCTCAGTCTCCTCCTGAGTTGCTGGGATTGCAGGCATGTGGCGTTGCACCTGGCTAGGGCTTCTTTTTGGCTAGGTACCTGTTAGTAAGTTGGAATCTGGGAGCAGGTGAAAGATGTGGAGCGTTGTAGAGGCTCAGGTTGCACCTGTGCATCTTGACCACTATGGGGAAATTGGGACTAGCAGGGACAGTTGGGGGCATGGAATCTCTGGGGTAGATTGCAAATCCTGTGTCAGATTTTGGTACTTGCTTCCTCTCAAATCTTTTTGTGGGGTTTGGGGGTCCGGGAGGCAGTCATACTTCTGGAGGGGTATGGAGGCTCCTTCTTTGGTGAAGAAGTAGAGGAGGGTTACCAGCAAAGTGAAGGCCACATTCAACGTCACTCAAGTTGGGCAGGGATCTCTTTGGGTCTTTTGAATTCAGCTTCTTCCCTCCTGCCTGGGCAGTAGCTCACATAAACTGTTTTTTCTCAATGAGAGTAGGAGGAATGGGGTCTAGGACTGCTTTCCTGTTATCTAAGAAATATAGGGTTGCTGTTTTTCCAGGATCTGTCCTGACATTGCGTAAACATCCCCAGGTTTGTTCTAGAGGGGCTATGAATAGATTGATTCGAGATTAAAACAAACCAGCCATTGAACTCAGGGTGTTTAACCGTCAAACCACTTCCTCAACTCTGCTTATTTATTTATTTTAATTTTGAGATAGGGTCCCACTAAGTCATTCACACGGACAGGGAGTCTTCCACACTGCTGAATGGGGCCTGCCCTGGGTGGCCCTTGTTCATGGGGTCATGCTGTCCTTGGAGGAAATACCCTGCATTGAATTCCTCAGGGAAGACAGGTTCTAACAATTCAGGGCCCATTAACTGGTAGAATCAACCTGTGGCATTATGTGGCATTATACATGAGACCCCTCTGCTGAGTGCACTTGCAGATCTGCTCACTAGAGTTGTCAAGACAATAAGGCTGAGAAATTGCGACCTCATTGCAGGACTGGCTACACACTTTAAGTGACTGCTATGGTTTGAATGTGCCTTCCAAATTTCACGTGTTGGAATTGTAATCCTCATTATAAGAGAGTTGATAAGTGGCATCTTTGAGAGGTAATTCAGTCATGAGTTCTTTCTCCCAATATCCTTTTTGTGGGAGTGGGCTTTTAATTTTGAGAATGGCTTTCGTATAAAGGTAAATCCAGCCCTTTGTTGGCTTCTCTTGCCCTCACTTTCTGTCATGGGAATAATACAGCAAGAAGGCTAATCAATTGCCTGCATCCTCTTCTGAGACTTCCCAGGCTTTAGAAAAGATAAATAAATGTCTTTTCTTTATAAGTTATCCAGTTTCTGCTGTTTTGTTCTAGCAACGCAGAACAGTCTGAAAAAGAGACCTAAGGCAAAAAGAAATTTCGGACAGCCCTATGAAAAAAAGCAACAGAAAAAGCACAGTTACATATAATGAACCATGATATTTTTTCTTTATTATTTATAAAGCACAATGTAATTGATAAAGATGTGTGAGGAACAATACTTAAGAAAGTGTATGAGGACATTAATTTTTCAGTGCTAAAAAGAGAACAGTCCAAGGTCAGGAGTGTTTCAGAAAGGATACTGTGATCACGAATTAGAATCTTCTTAATGTGTTTTTGAATGCAATTTGGCAAGATTTTATTGAAGAATTTTGCATTTGTTCATCAGAGATACAGGTCTGGATAACTCATAAAGAAAAGACATTTATTTCTCTTTTCTAAAGAAAAGAGCCTGGGGAGTCTCCAAAGAGGGTGAAGGCAAATGGATTCTCAGGTGAGTACTATAAGACCATTAAAGAATGCATATCAATCTTCCTCAAATTATACCATGAAATACAAAGGGAGAAAAGACTCCTAAATTCATTCTATAAAGCCAGTAATCACCCTCATATTGAAGTCAGGGAAAGATACATCAAACCATAACAACACAGATTACAGGTTACAAATAATTTTTTTGGTTATCCATTTACAATACAACACTTCATCAATAGCTTGATAAATCTCATGATGTTTCTAGTTAACTTTTACATAAATTTACTGATTATGTCATGAGAGCATGTAGTTTTAGCAAGTAGATATTCAACATATCTTGAAAATAATTTTTGTCACTGTGGGAAAATGCATGATGTGACATAATGTTAATAATTTATGACTCTGAGGACAATGTTTTTATGTTTCAAGCATAAGTGGAAGTATATATGGTATTTCCCAGAATGCAGATTCCATTTCCAGAACTTCCTCATCTTGTATCACTGAAACTTTGCCTGCCTTCACCAGCAGCTCCCCATTTTTCCAAGACCCACAACCATGGTAATTACCATTCTACTTTCTGCCTCTGGGGGTTTAGCTGGTTTAGATTTCAGATGTAAATTAAATCATGTAGCATTTTTTTCTATGTCTGCTTATTTTCCTTAGCATACTGTCCTGTATATTCATAAACATTGTTGCAAATGATAGCATTGTATTCTTTTTAAGGATGAATGTTACTCTCAACATCATATAGCTGATATATTTTTATATGTGGACACAATATTTAAAAATCAATAATGAAAACTGAAGATTATTTTTTTCAGAATTTATTTCCAAGATATGCAAAATTTAACATGGGGGAAGGATTTAAGGACAAGCTTTGGGGTTCTGGTGACATACACAAGGCATCATACATCATGCCTGAAAACAACAAAACCCATTTGCCAATAAAGTTGTAGGTCTGGTTTCACATGACCATGCACATGCATGTTTGTGGATATAAAGGATTTAAGACACAAAGACACACACTAACCAAATATTAGCTCTCACAGCTTAAAAAAATCACTTCAAAAATAGTCCCAGAAATAAAGTGAAAACTTATAACTCAAAATCAGATAACTCAAAATATAAAGATCAAAGGACAAAAATATTTGGTGAGCGAAATAAGCCAGTAAAAACTACTAGTCGATTATTTTACAATGAAACAGATAAATATAAAGAAGTGAATAATTCAGAAAGGAAATAACATTGTACATAGTAGGAAAGAAACCACTATAAATGAAAGAAACCATAAAAATGAAAGCCATTTTAAGAAAATGACTACAGATTTTAGGAACATGGAAGCAGTTGTACCTTTCTAAGATAGACCTGACATGGAGAAGCAATAACCAGATACGGGATTACAATAGAGAAGGACAGCTACAAAAGGGGTAATGAGATAGAAGAGTCTCTGAAGGATGGGAGAAGTACAAAGCCAGGAATTGGCAGGAAGAAAGATGTCTTTGTTTTGAGAATTGCACAGACCCAACAGAGAAAAGCTCTGTTAAAATGAAAAGTTTTGCTGAATTCTGTTGCTCTTAAGAATTCATAAAAACAAATTTCATATAAAGTTGGGTGACAGAGAACGTTGATGGTAAACCATGCACAAATATTGTAGAGGAACAGGGAAATAAGTACAGACTAAGGCCACTATGAAAGTTCTCAGTTTTGATGAGCCTTACTTTGGAGGATGAATCTTTGTTAAAAAATGAGGTAAAGTTACTAAGAAAAAAGATACAAAGCTTGAAGAGGCTTCATTGATGAGATTGAATTCTATCATAAAAGGATGGATAGAACTCCGGAGAGAATAAACAGACACTGAAAAAAATCACTTGAGCAAAGAATAGTAAACCAGAAGAAATAAAGTGAAGGATATGCCTTAAAAGGAGATGAAAGAAGTGGGAATATATATAAAAAAAACTGGAGTAAGAAGTGGGAAAAGATTGAGAGAAATGCCTAGAGTTGTTAAATACCATAGCAGTTCTTATGTATAATTGATTGGGTGCCTGACAGAGAAAAAACCAAAGCTAAGATGAAAAGAAAATATTGAAACAATAACTCAAGTTGTTTTCTAGATATAAATAAAATGTTTTGCAATAGTTTCTTCAGGAGAATCCTGAGCATTGA